TCCTGTTGAAGGTCTTGTGAATAACATTACCCTGAGATTCTTCTCCTTTCTCTATGCCTATGATGCATAAATTTGGTTTTTCATGGGATCCCACATTTCCTGCGTATTCCATTCCTATGTTTTTAAATTTTTTTCATAATTGTTACTTGAACAGTCCAAGTCTTCATCTTTATTCTCCATTCTTGATATTCTGTTGTCATTTCATTAATTTATTGGTGAGGTTTTCTCTGGTCATTTTAAATTGTCTTATTGAGTGTTTCGCTTCCTTCATTTCAGCCTTTTTCTTCAATATTTCTCTCTTTTGTGTATTTGGTCAGTCTATTCCCATCTTTTTTCAGTTCTTTGATTTGTTTGTGTGTTCTTCAAATTCGCTGAATTCTTTGATCATGTTTATGGTTGTTCTTTTAAATTCTTTATCCTGTGTTATCTCTAGGGGGTTCTCATTGTAGAACTCTTCTATTGAACTGATGGGGACAAATAATTTGGGTTTTTCATGTTATTCTTTCATTGTGATTTTAGCATGTGAATTTCTTTTGTTGTTTGTAATTCCTGTGTGAGACTCATCTTCCTTTGTTAAGTTGAAGTTTGTTTCTGTTTGTATACTTGATGTGCCTTTGTTGTTTTCTTATTGGGTATGAGAAGCTTGTTGGTCTAGGCTTCAGATTCTCTCTTTTGATTTTATATCGGAGGGACCAGAAGACTCTAGTCCAGCTACTCAGGAGTTCCTGCAGAGGCACAAGTCAGGTGAGAATCAGATGCTCTCAGGCTTCCTCCTAAGGTCTGGGCACCTCTAGCCAGCAGGAACAGAACAATTTGAGAACCTTATTGGGCAGAGTCTGGATTCAGGCCATCTCTGGCAGTCTGCCAAAGTCTGGGCCCCTGCTCAAGGGCATGGACACCTAGCCTGCAGCAGTGGGAGGGTTGCAGATGGTCCCAATGTAGGCGGATGGGCGGGGCACAATTTGGAGAGCTCATCAACACTTGGAGCTAAGAGAGTAGTCCAGAGACCTGAGGTGCTAAGAGCAGAAGGGGCCTGTGGCCAAGGCTAGAAAGAGAAGTAGATGTGGTGTTTGGGAGATTTGAGTTTCTTGGGCTGTAGAGGAGTCAAGGTGCACAGGTGAGATCAGACTTAACAGGAAAGAAAGCTGGTCTGGGGAATTCAAGGCAAGTTAGGGTTGGGGGTAGCCTGGGAAGGCTCTAAGAAACTAGACTGAAAAATTGAGGTGGTCTGAGTATAGGGGATCAGGATGGCAATGGCCAGTGTGGACTAAGAGAGTAGTCCAGAGATCCAGGGTGCTGAGCACAAAAGCAGGCCTGTGTCCAAGGCTAGAAGAAGAAGAGGATGTGGGGCTCCACTCCTATTTGTATAGCTGGCTCCTCTGAGAGGGCTTTCCTTTCACCAACACTAAACAACCAAAATGAAAGTGGGTAAATCCCAAAATTATCAATTGTGTATTGTATACTGATTTTGCTGCGTAAGGTACTTATATCTTCCATTTATTCATGATGACTAGAACTGAGCAAGAATGAACAGCAGCATCCTGCAAGTACTTAAGGATGACCATGATGCTTTCACCCACCTGTCATCACAACAGTCACCTGAGTTTTACTACCACTTCTTTGATACTTTGAGAAACAGGACCCACCTGGTTCCTTTGTGGGTGCTCTCAAAGTTTTCTCCTACTGCATTCCTCTTCGTGTAAACTTATAGCAGCATCTGAAAAATGTTGTTGCTGGGAAAATAGCAGAAACCAGTGAGGATGTAAAATTACTTCTACAGATAATTGAAAAGTTGTTTTATTTATACTATACGCATGCCTTTTTCTAGAGATTATAGGCATAAAGAAGTTCGTTTAGGAAACCTGAATTTCAGTAGCAGATGAATGTGTTTAATTGCATTTCTTAGATGAAAGCTTTAAAATAAAGAACACCAGAAAAATCTTAGGTTGGCTACGTGTAGTTTTATGTTCTATTTTCTTTTAATTTTAAAATGTAAAGGTCATTTTAACAATACAAAAGTGACTATTGAAGGTAAAAATGCCATTTCTTACCTGAATTATAGTTCAACATTAAGAGAAAAAAATTCTTATTGTGGGTTCTAAAATCTTATTGTGGGCATAATGTCATGCTAATGATTTTTATGTGACACTGCTTTCAATAATTTCAAATGTCTTTCTATATAAATTAAGAGTTTTTCCTAAAATTATTTTGTCCTCACAAGAATTACAGTTTTAAAAAATATTTATTATTTATTTGTTTTTATGTGTACGAGTGTTTTGCCTGCATGTATGTAATTGTACCATGTGCATGCAGTTCCCTTGGAGGCCAGACAAGGTTTTGGATTCCCTAGAACTGGAATTGCAGACAGTTCTTAACTGCCATGTGAGTGCTGAGAACTGAACTCAGGTCTTCTGCAAGAGTAGCCAAAATTCTTATCCCTTGAGCCATCTCCCTGCCCTAGAATACCAATTTTATTATAGAGGATACAAATGAAAAGTTCTGAAACATGAATAAAATGAGGTCCATGAGGGTTCAGAGCCTGTGTCCCTATGAAGTTGGAAGTGCCATTATGTCAGCATAAGGCTGTATATGCAGAAGTCTCCTAAGACGCATCACTTGGGGGGAGTTGCCTTATTTATTTACAGTTTCATACATGTATATAATGATTTTTAATCATTTTCAATGCCAATTTCCCTCTCTCATCCCCTCTTCCTCCCTCTGAAAAACTTTTTTTCTCAGCAAACCCTCCTCCTTTCATGTCTGCCTTTTGTATGTGACCCATTGTATTTAATTCTCACCCATAAAGATCTCAGAACTTTAAGTCCATAAAGGATTAACTTTTATTTTGAAGTCTTTGAATAGTACTTCTAAACATTGACAGAATTGTTTATATGCATAATAATAAGAAAACTAGTTAAAAATTAAGTCAATAACTTCTGTAGCATATTTACCTCTTGCTTAATTAATTATCTTTTAGGCCATGTTTTCGTTTATTCATTTATCCTTTAGCATTCAAAGTCAGTCACTAAAGCAATTTAAAATTTAATTCAAGAAGACATATTTATTGCTGCAAATGTTAAGGATGCAAACATTGCTGTCATCCACAGGGAATTCACTTTGCTTTGTATCTGGAGGAACAGGCTTATAATGATGTGAATATTTAATCCTAATTATCTGTGCTGCTTAAAAAACCTAAGCACGTTTTACAATTTCATGGACACTGTATAAATCGCTCAGGACCAGATCATGTGATGAAATAACAAACACAATACCTTCTAAAATGGTTCTGGAATTCAGCATTTAAAAAAACAAGCCATCCTCAATCCCATAGTTGAATAGCTAAAGAAACAGTTATCATAGTCACATATTTACACAGCATAGCTTTCATCATCCATATGTACATGGAATTTTATGTTATCTGGCAATTTTTTAAAAAATTCAACTTTTAGTAGAAAAACTCCTTTTGTTACTAAAAATGTTTCAGAAGTGAAATCAATGTTAAAGGTATAAATAATTTCTTTTCCATACATAAAGTATACAAGGAAGTAATCTCTCTCTCTCTCTCTCTCTCTCTCTCTCTCTCTCTCCCTGTCTTTCTCTCTCTCTCAAATCAGAGTCTGAGTATATATCCCAGGCAGCCTTTGAACTTCTGATCCTCATGTCTCAGCCTCTGGAGTGCTTGGATTATGGGTATATATACAACATCCAGCCCAAGAAAGTATTTCTTATGATAGAAATCTAAAAGTTTTATACCTATCTATAGGATTTGTTGGGGATTTGAGATTTGTGATAGGTACTGGCTGAGAATTTATAAATTCTGACAGAAACTTTAGCATTTGTACCTGAATCCCTTGACTCCTTCCACCAGAACAGCATAGTATGGCTTGGGAAGTGAGAATTAAATCAACAGGCTAGAGCAAAGGGATCCTGACCTTAGGGCTCTTCATCCTTCCTTGCCTGCTTCATTTAAGACCTTATTTTTATCTTAATAATCAGGTTCATTCCTGGTACCACCATGCATCTCTCCACCAGATTTTATATATATAAAGGATTATGAAGTCTGATTTGTGTCCCCTAAAGTCCTTCAGTGTGGATTCATCCACTGGGTCCATCAAGAGATCCCACCTTATAAGACACAGTCATTCCCTGCTTCCAGCAGCCATCAATTGCCAAAAGTTCCTTAGGCTGGGTTGGGGTATTTTATCTACCCCATGTCTATGCTGGGATTTTGTTTGGTTTGAGCTTGCATAGGACTTGTGCATGCTCTCACTATTGCTGTGTGTTCATAAGAGTAACTCACCAGCTATCTTGAAAGACTCTGTTTCCTTGTACTCATTCACCCCCTTCTGGCTCTTATTATCTTTCTGCCTCCTCTTCGGAAATGATCCCTGAGCCTTGGGAGGCAGAGGTTTGAAATAGCTCTTCTCTTCAGGGTCAAGAGCTCTGCAGCTCCTTGTTCTCTGTGTAGATGTTCTTTGTGCTGGGGTACTTGAGTACTTGTTTCATTATGTAGCTCTTAACGTTTTTACTTTTCAAGTTTATTTTGAAAATAGTTCTCAAGCAACCCTCACTGCCTAATTTCTACCTGGATTGCTTTGCGTGGTATTTCAGTCTAATCCTGATATGTTTGCACTGCAAGAAAATTTGCTTTTCTTGCTGCGACTCTAAAGCAAATCCTATCATTTCAAATTCTTAAAAGCAATGATGGCTTCCCCTAATTTGCTCATTTTGCCCATGAAGGAACTCAACTTCAGCACTGCTTCATATTGAGGAAAGGAAAGTTATGAAACATGTTCATCTGAGGACAAGTCACGTCATGCACACTTGTGTATTAACTCAAGAATTGCTGTGGAAGGGTTCTAAGCAGATCAAACTGTTTTACACTCTTTAATAGTCTTTGCCATCTGAAAATTAATTTTGTGCATGATTATTTAAGCAGTAGCATGATGTATATTTTTCACATTGATAAATCACAAAAGCTTGAGTTCCACTAATTGCCTTCACATTTCTTTACACGTAGACAGTACATTATAGATCTGGAATCCTGGTGGGAGTGGAGAAGAGGTGTTGTGGTGTGGATGGTGGTGGTGCGGATGGTGGTGTGGAGTGGTGGTGTGGAATGGTGGTGTGGAGTGGTGGTGGTGTGGATGGGGGTGCGGAGTGATGGTGTGGATGGTGGTGGTGTGGATGGTGGTGTGGATGGTGGTGTGGATGGTGGTGTGGATGGTGGTGTGGGATGGTGGTGTGGATGGTGGCATGGGATGGTGGTGCGGATGGTGGTGTTGAGTGGTGGTGTGGAATGGGGTTGTGGAGTGGTGGTGGTGTGGATGGTGGTGTTGCATGGTGGTGTGGATGGTGGTATGGAGTGGTGGTGGTGTGGATGGTGGTGTGGATGGTGGTGTGGATGGTGGTATGGATGGTGGTGCGGATGGTGGTGCAGATGGTGGTGTGGAGTGATGGTGTGGGATGGTGGTGCAGATGGTGGTGCGGATGGTGGTGTGGATGATGGTGTGGGTGGTGGTGTGGGATGGTGGTGTGGGATGGTGGTGTGGATAGTGGTGTGGATGATGGTGTGGGATGGTGGTGTGGATGGTGGTGTGGAGTGGTGGTGGTGTGGATGGTGGTGTTGATGGTGGTGTGGAATGGTGGTGTGGAGTGGTGGTGTGGATGGTGGTGTGGAGTGATGGTATGGATGGTGGTGTGGAATGGTGGTACGGAGTGGTGGTGGTGTGGATGGTGGTGTGGGATGGTGGTGTGGATGGTGGTGTGGATGGTGGTGAGGATGGTGGTGTGGAGTGGTGGTATGGATGGTGGTGTAGAATGGTGGTGTGGAGTGGTGGTATGGATGGTGGTGTGGATGGTGGTGTGGAGTGGTGGTGGTGTGGATGGTGGTGTGGATGGTGGTGTGGAATGGTGGTGTGGAGTGGTGGTGTGGATGGTGGTGTGGAGTGATGGTATGGATGGTGGTGTGGAATGGGGGTACGGAGTGGTGGTGGGGTGGGTGGTGGGGTGATGGTGTGGATGGTGGTGTGGATGATGGTGTGGATGTTTTTGTGGATACAAAAAAACAAAGACATAAAAGTAGTTACAGAACTTGTAGGGAAGGGGAAATTTTTCAGTGGGAGAGTGAGTGGGTGGGGATGGGAAAGAAAATGGGAGAGCAACAAAAATTTGATTCATATATGTATATGAGACACTGTTGAAGACTAAAATAAATGTTAAAATATTAATAAAAATAATGGAAATAGAAAGGACTTTAAAAACCCTAGGAAAGGGAATAGAAAGATGGCTCAGAAAAAAGGCAGCTTGCTGTGCAAACTTGAAGACTTAAATTCCAGTCCTGAGAACTCACATAGAAAGCTGGTCATGGCCTCACACATGCCTGTAACCCTAACAGTATAAGGAATGGAGACAGGAGGACCTCTGGGGTCCTGTCAGCCTGGATCCAGGTTCAGTAAAAAACACTGTTTCAAGGGAACTGGCAGACAACAGTAGAGCAGGATACCCCACACCTTCTTCAGGCATCTGCACATGCACCTGCACATATGTGTGCATCAACACTCACATGTTACACACCACACACGGGGAGAGAGAGAGAGAAGAAGAAGAGAGAGAGAGAGAGACAGAGAGAGAGACAGAGAGAAAGAGAAACAAAGGAGAAACACAGAAGACAGAGAGTTAGAGAGAGAAAAACAGATAGAAAGAAAAAGAGAAATACAGAGAGAACTCCAGGAAGAAAACTCAAAACAAACAAACAAATGAACAAAACCATATAAAGAGAGAATGTTACAGACTGTGGCTTAGCACTCTGTGAATCGTAATTTGATCTTTAATTGCATTCAGTATATATTTTGGGCATTCATTTCTTACTACATATGCTTTGGGAGTTTGTCACAGGAGCATCCAAACCCCGAATGACATTTCCTTTTTTAAAAAAATATTTAATTTTTTTACATTTTATGTGTATGTGTGTTTTGTCTGCATGTATGTAAGTGTACCATGTGCATGCAATGCCTGTAAAAATCAGAAGATGTCAAATTCCCTTGAAGTAGAGTTACAGATTGTTGTTAGCTGCCATGTGGGTGCTGGGTTTGGGTGATCGGAATTGAACCAAGTTACTCTGGAAGAATTGCAAGTGTTTTTAATTGCTGAGCCATCTCTCCTGTCTTGCAAATGATATTTCTTTAATGAATGAAAATAATGTAACCTGTGGATTCTTCTCAAATGTTCTCCTGTTGAGTTGGACCTGTTTTCAAAGGCTGATGTTATTGAGCATTTCAGTACATTGTTTATGGAAAGTGGAGAGAGTGAGCAGCATGCCCTTTTAAAGCAGATGTTTACTTATCAGCTCCCACATTCTGCATTACTGCATTAACACTGAAATCACTTTCTGTTATGTTTTGAATCTGAAATGTCTGCCCTGAGTTTTGGATGTTTCCCTCCCACTCACCCACCCACCCCAGTTTCTGTGGGGCTTTAAGGAAGGGAGGCAGGACAGGTAGAAGTAGATCACTAAGTCAGGCCTCTGTAGGCTATAGCCTGGTCCTCGCTTCCTGATGTTACTGTAGCAAGAAAGTACTGTAAGAAAAACTGTTCACCAAATCTCTTCTGGATAGAGCCCTACCTTTCCAGTTTTGTCTTGTCAATCACCTGGTTTCAGGACACTCTAGGAAGGCAAAGTGAACTCACCTGCTAAAGAGATAGGTGGAATACCATGTGTGCTACTAAGCTAGTAAACTTTCCTGAATTTCTGCCCCCTAGTGCAGTGTTTCTAGATGAGCCGCAGGCTCATTTTCTCAAGAATTTAGAGAAGCTTAACGGCTCCTTTTCTTTTTTATATCTCTTTTCTAAGCATGCTTTCGCTAACACTCTGGGCTGCCCCAACATTTTCTCTAATTACTATTTCTCTAAAGTACCCTTCTCCTCCCTGTGTGGCATCCATGCCAGCTCTAAGTCAGCAGGGCTTGATACTGCCTGGAATCTTTTCTCCAGTCCTTTTCTCTGCCAGGTAAAGAATTACAAGAGGAGAAGTCTGCAGTCACAGTCCACCGACAAGGTTTATTCAACAAGCAACACTCCACACAGAGACAGACTTCCCACATGGGGAGGGTTCCAGAGCTGGAGCACCGTCTACCTCCATGGAGAGTCTAGGCTTTTGTATTCTATAGGGTAGAAAGTGGGACAGGACTGGGCTCCTCTTTCGACTTTGGATTGGACAAGGTAAGGGTGTGTGTTATTGGTGATTCACTCATGAAAGCAGAAACCTGATTGATTAGAGCAAGGCAGGAAATTTGAAATTCTGACTAGAAGGAGCCCACCTGCAGGGGAAAAAATGACTACACAAAGGGCCAACTTTAGACAAGATTTGAAAGTAGGCCATCTTTGAAACAAGTGAGAGTATTAAGAACACAACTGAATCTAGTCTGGGCCCTCCTCCCCGGTCTGAGACTTCCTCCCTTTAATATCTTTCTAGTTCAGAGCTAACTGGTATTTTTCCTTCTCTCCAGTCCCATCCCCAAGTCAGCTGCTGAGATTTACAGCTTGCCTGCCCTGAGGATTGTTTTTTCTTTGAATTCTAATAAACTTGTCCTAAAGCTTCTGTTTGAATCCATTCTTAAATTCTTTTATGAATGAGATGAAAAATCCTGAACGTGAACCCTGTTTTCCACTGTATCACGGCCACACTCCCCACTTACTCGTCTACCATGTAGTTTGCTACCATGAACTCTGTCATCCTTTCCCTTCTATGAGAGACTGAAATTGCAACTGAGGGGCAAAAGAACTCCTTCCTGGGCCTAGAGAGATGGCTCAGCAGTTAAGAACACTGACTGTTCTTGCAGAAGACTGGCATTTGAATCCCAGCACCCACATGGCAGCTAACAACTGTCCCTAACTCCAGTTCCAGGGGATCAGACAGCCTCTTCTGTCCTCTGCGGACATTGCACAACACGGATGCACTTACCTACATGTAGGCAATACATGCATACACATAAAAGAAAAATAATAAATAAAATGTTCAAAAAAAGAAGTCCTTATAAATTGTTTCGGTCAGTTGTATTGATCACAGTGTAACAGATACAGTTTGTGTATAGGTTAATCAGCAGCTTTCTTTTACAATTCCCAACTTTGGTCAGCTGCTACAAACAAAACAGGATTTCTTGTAAAATGGCTTGTATATTTATTGAAAAACTGCTAATATGGACTATTAAACTTGAAAATATTTCTTTTGCTTGTTTGTTTTCTGAAATAAGATTTCATGCAGCCTCAATCAACCATGAACTCCTAATCCTCCTGCCTCTATCTCTCAAGTGCAGGAATTATAGGCCTGTGTTACCTTGCTTGTACAGCTTTGAAAATACTTCAAAGCTTATTGAAAAGGCAAATATTCCCACTGCATTCAGGGAGACCTATTCCATTGGCTTCATTATTTAATCAGATTGTTAGCAAGTCGAATATTTCTTGTATAACTACTGCTGAATTCAATTTTTTTTTTAGAAAGACAAGATTATTATAAAAAAATCAGAGTATTAAAGGGATTTTAAAGAGTAGTATCCTACATAATGACACAAAATGCCTTCTGGGAGTGTTAAAACCTACTTTGTTACTCTTTGTCCAGCAAGGACTGGAGGGAGGGCTGTGTTCTTGTTTGGTTTCTGGGAGCCACTCCCAACCAGAGGTCTGTTCAAAAAGGCATCAACTGAGCCCTGACTTATAAAAGGACCCAAAATAGCTGGCAACAGCCAGTCACACAGTCTTAAATGACTTTAGGAATTGATCATCAAAAAAGGCTATCTTACCTCTTTGACTTTGATGATAACAGATGTCTCACTTCATAATGCCTCCAGATCTTTTTGTTGCAGGTCACAAACCACTTAGTGCCAAGGGCAGAATTCTGGCTGGCTGGGGCTCAGGTAACAATGGACCTTCTGAACTCCCATCTGTGATACACAAAGTCAGTCTCATGATAGAATCTATTGTCATTTCCAAAGAAACTTAATCAACTACCAGACAAATTAGTTTATTCTAGTTTCCCCTGTGATGATTGAAGTAAGGATTTTTTTGCCCAGCTTTCAAGCTAGTAATATTATTTTAAACAGCCATTCTGATAACTGTTCTTTAATTTGCTGGGTTTTGATATTTTATTGGCACATAATAACTATTTCCATACATTAAGTTTATCACTGCTTTGCAGTGGCCTGGTTACGTGATTACATTTCAATTAGATTTGTGCAAAATGCTGAATTGCAAATTCTTTGCACACAGAATGAAATGGCCTATCCTCTTAATTCCACCCACTCAGACAATTTGATTCATTTGACTTAATATACATGTATAACAAATTGGTCTAGTAAATTTCCATATAAAACAGCACCAGCCCTAAAAGGCTCTGATGTAAACAATTAATTCCGTGTTTTTATCTTGCAGAAACACTGGTTTCCTACAGAACAAAATACAGCACGCTATGTTTAGATTTTGTCATTATGGAAGGGAGATAAACAGCCAGGACACAAATAGCCCTTTTCTCCTTTGCCATCCAGTAATAAACAGCACCTAAACCCTCTCATATATGTTCTCAAGATATCTGCTTGTGTTTATTTATATAAAGGGCATCAAAAAAATTGCTATAATTCTAAGTTTAACTCATTGAATTTGAACAAAAGTTCTGGGCCAGTGAGATGTTTCAGCTTCTAAAGGTGCTTGTTGCCAAGCCCCATCACCTGTGTCACCCCCATGACCCACAGAGTAGAATGAGAGAACTGACTTTCATAAATTGTCTTCTGGCCTCCACACAGGAGCTGTGGCCCACAATCCCCAACAAATAAATAAAATAATTTAAAATTTCCAAAACAAAACTTTTACCAGAAATATGGATTATTCTTAGAATGAAATACTTGCTTTAACATAGCTTAATTTGCAGTTTAGTCCATCGACTTCTTATTAAAAGAAATATTACAATTTGATCTTGATGGGCCTAGAAAATCTTCTGTCTTTAACAGAGCACTGTTTCATTTTAATGCGTTGATATCCTCTACTACAATGTGCTCAGAATATCTGAGCCATTAAACACTATCACACT